CCTGTAATTAATTAGATTAATTTTTTTAATCGAGTCCCGGCCCTAGTTATAATACTAAATACATTTGAAGCCTTTTTATATAAGCTGTCCACCATGTCAATATGTTTCTCTTTTTGTCGTGTATTGGTCTTTTGTAGAGGTTTTTCATTGCCAGCTAACATCTTGCCCAGCGCCGTATAGACTGATCTATCTATATGATCTATCTATCTATCTATATGGCGCTGATCTTGCCTATAGGGCAGCACATTGGTCAGAACCAGCCCTGGTGTTGTCCCCACAGCACCCCCCATTTGAAACATGTTCCTGCCATGTTTTCTTTAGAATCATGTCCTTAGTCTCGTACGTTTGAAAGTTCACTATCATTGATCTTTGAGGTGCACTCGGGGGCGGCTTTTGACCGAGGTCTCGGTGGGCACGTTGGATCTGGAGAGGGGGTTCGTCGGAGAGTTCGAGTTCAGTGCTGAGGAGTCGTTCCAGGTATTTAACGGCGGAGCTCCCCTCTGTATCCTCCGGTATGCCAAAGATCCTGATGTTGTTTCTTCTTGTTCTTCCCTCCAGGTCCGTTAATTTGTCTTGCATCTGCCGTGTACGATCCGACATTCCCAACAGTGCACCGTTAGCCACTGACTGCCACTCTTCTAACTCAGCTATGCGTGTCTGGGCTTCGCTAACACACATTTTCTGTGTCTGTAGTTCGTTTTAATTTTCTGTGAGCTTACTAATTCTTGCCGGAGGTTATTGATTTCTATTTCACTTCCTTCTCCAGTTCATCTTTAAATGTGGATAGCTGGTGTCGCAGACCCTGCTTGAGCTCTTGGATATTATTGCTAATAGCTGCCAGCCCGGCACGTAGCATATCTGCGGTATCCCGTGGCTCCGGTGTCTCTGTTAGCTCTCCCTCGTGTTCGCTAGCTTCAGCGGATTCGTCCATTTCGGGTTTTTCTCCTAATTTGTCTTGCTTTTTGTTGGATTACCGGCTTTTTCTATTGTTTTGCCTACTCATTTCTTACTTTTTTTCGTCGAGTAGTTGACTTTCGTGGGTTTATTCAGGACCGACCTGAGAGAGTTGGTTAACTTGTGTCTTCTCACTCCACCATCATACCGGAAGTCGACAAGGGCCATTTTAACCAGTAAGTACAAAATGATTAAAAAACAAACCATGCTAAATTCCAACAAACATTTATTTGTGAATTCTATGACAAACAGGAGGCAGTTTTAATATCTTGTTTTACAAGCTACATTGATTGGAAAAAACAAAAATCCCCAACGTTTTTAAAGTTTTTTTATCAACTTCAAAATGCACCTATGTACAGAAGAAATGCTCAAGTGTGGTCTATAAATGGAGAGCTACATACTTCCACAGCGACCTGGTTTAGATCAGCTGTTGACATTCAGCTTTTCTCAAAGAAACAAAAGGATAGAGTACAAAACTGAAAACTCTTTTAACATTTCAATACAAGGGGGGAAATGTCCTTACTGTTTACTCGTTTTATTTGTCTTTCATTGCATTCTCTTTTTATTCAAGAAACAAGAGTTATTAAAAAAAAAAGAGCAGGTTATATAATGCAAATATACAGGTCAGTCTCTAGATAATTGTTTAGCTAACATTATGAACAGCTACAAATCTATTTACATATTCCCAAGATGTAATAATCATATGAATGGTATGGACACATGTTAAAAAGGCTGAAAAGGTACATGTTGCTTTGCAGGCTTACAGGGATAATAATGACATTCATGGTTTGTGCCATGCAACCTGTAAGAACTGATCCATCATTGGCTGGTGATGCTGTGTGAACGGTATAACTGTCTTTCATTGGCTGCAATGTTTTGTACTTATAACCTGAGGGGGAGGAGCAAATGTAACACCTGCCAGGCAGGTGAAAAGGCTGGAGAGGCAGAAACAGAACTGACCAATAGAGTGCCACAGTGACTCGTCCTAAAACCCGGAAGTAAGTTAGCATTTGACCACTTCCGGTTCCTTCGACAAAACCAATGCAATTTCTCCATAGGATTTTGGAAAATAGCTTCGAAATTTTTTTTAATCATAAATCTATCGATTATATTTATGATTGGAAAATTATAAAAGTAGGGTAGACATGTGGATATTATCTGGCTGAACCACAGACCTTATTTCGAGCTATTTTCCAAAATCCTATGGAGAAATTGCATTGGTTTTTGTCGAAGGAACTGGAAGGATTTTAACCCTTCCGGGTTTTAGGACGCGTCACTGTGGCACTCTATGACATCAGAGTCAGAGAAAGATTTGAGTCTCATGCGGACTGCAGGAAAATTCATCTGTTATAGTAAACACCAGTTGGAGCTCTGAGGTGCATTTCCAGCAATGATACGTCACATCTGATGTTCTATAGGAGGACGTTTAATAACACAGACTAATTATAATCTGTTTTTATAAGTTAAAAAACTATTGTTCCATAGTGTTTTGCACTATGACTATGTTTTGCACTATGACATGAACCCAGCATCAAAACAACAGTGGCGGTTTCACCACAACCTGAACATTTACTGGAACAGTCTAACGTATCATGAGTCAAAAATACAGGCCTTTGCTCCACTCTGCAATAACAGCAAAAGAATAAACAGTGGAGGTTGGCTAAAAGGTTTGACCAAAGCATAACCTCTGTCCACATTTCAACAATTTGGAGGTCTGGTTACACAAAAATGAGGCAAAACTAATTCTAAAGCATAGCCTTCTGTTTTCCTCAATCTGAGATCCCTTATTGGCTTGCCTCACGTATTGTCCGTCAGAATGTATTTAGATGAGCAACCATTGAAGATTAATGTAAACACAGCAGTAATCACCTACTGCAAAACAATAAATAAAGACGATCTTAACTCCAGTTTTAATTAATCATCATCAAGGTTGTACTTAGATGTAGCAAAATATTTGCAGAAAAATAAGATTTTTAATTAACCAAGACATCTTTGTAGAGAAAAGGCACAAAGTGACCTTATCAATAACAGTGAGAATAAATATTAACAATCAGGCCCCGGAACTGGAACCAAATATTTTAAAGATCAATGCACACTATATTAGAAGTTACATTTCTCTATCACTGATTAAATATTTGTATTGAAATTATAAATGATCAATATGTCACAATTGTTTAAGTGAATGCTGACAACATTTCTCGAATAACTTTCATTGGGGTATTTTCAAAAATGGTAATTTGTTCCAGGTTTGTGCTTTTTCTTTGTTGGTATATTTCACATTAAGTCCCATTGATTGTTTTTATCAGCTATTGATCAACGGTTAATTGCTTCCTCCAGATTGATAATTGTATCCAAAAAGAAGGAATGGTGCAAAACCTAACATTAGAGCCATTATTGGACTGCAGCCACTCTCTACTGTTGTCAGCTTCACAAGCTTTTTTGGGCTTTCGTTTCTACTGTATTCTGAGATTTTTGGCAAAGATCTGGTAGCCCAGATGGGTTGTATCTGATTTCTCTCTTATGACACTGAATAACTTCTTCTGAAAGTTATTGATAACATGGTGGTTAGCTTGAGAGCTAAATGCTGTCTTGACATGCAGTTTGTCCTGTCATTTGTGGAAATAGCTTTAGCATTAGTGTTAAATTTTTGTCAAAAATGTGAAATGTATCATTGCCAAAACTGATGTAAATTGTTTGTTTTATACAGGGTTTGTTTACAAATGTTGACGTGTTCTTATGCTTATATTTTGTTATTTTTTTAAAGTTCTGCTTGTACACTACATATGGATCAGCTTTGTTGGTCATCTGGATTTTGGTATGGTACAATGTGCCAGACCTCGTTGACTGTGTTAGCATACATAGCTGTTTGCAGGAAATACAAACAGCTAACTATGTTAGCGCCAAACAGAAGCAGAACATCTAGCCAACTAGTTAAATATATCTTTGTTGAAAACATAGCCACCATATTGAGGGGCAGCAAGGTGGATTAGGCTTTAAGATCAGTAAACTGAGCAGGAAAAATAGTTGGCAAGTCACTTTAGCTGATTTGCAAAGTGAACCTGTTAGCTTGTTTGCGAGCTAAGTTTTAGCTTATCAATTATTTTCTCTTCCGTGATTACACCAGATGTGGTTATTCATTTGAAAAATATCATTGTGGTATGAAGAAAGGAATTAATGTGTACTAAACATTATAAACTGTGTTATTTTGGGTCGCATGGAAGTCTTTAAATTAGGTTATATGATTTCATGAGATTGCTTAGCTAAAACAACCTGTATAATTTGGGTAAAAAATCAGACAGTCTATTCCTGTGGCAAGAAGCTTTTGAAGAAGTGAATGGTTTCAGTCGGTTGTTTTTCTACCATTAGTGAGGGCCACAGTGGAGACAGACAGCAGTATTTAGGCTGTGGGTTTTCCTCACTGTGTTATTTGCACTGTTACTGTAATGCCCTATTTTAAACTGCTGAATCATTGAATGGTGTTCAGAAAAGGAGAAATGCTGGACTTTAGCTTACCACAGACAGTGGAAGAGACATATTCAAATAGATCACAGCAGACTTTACAAAAAGTAGCACCATGATAACCAAATAGAAAGAATATAGAAACATTAGCGCAATAAATCAGCAAAAGTATCCATATAAAATGAACAAAAAAATAATTTAATTTCCAGAAGTACAATAACCCTTGGTATAAAAAAGACCATACATGTATACTTTATCCTCATTACCTGTAAGCCATTATGTCATCGCACCTTGGTACAGTACTTAATTGTAGCTTTAATACAGCATGATCGCAATTATGTGCAGAAAAACAATTTTACCCATTGAAAAAAAGAACATGCTGGGTTTGTTTGTATGTCTACATGGAGTCCAGTTTGAATGTGGTAGGTAATCTGACAGGCACTTTGAATTTCTGTTGATTGATTAGAAATATAACTACATGGATAACAAAGACATAAGAGAATAAAATATGATTGTTTTCAGTTAACTGTATTTTTTAGGGTTTTAATTCACCAATGCCTTTTGTGTCTGTTCCCATGTTATATATTTTTAGGCCTTTTATTTCTTTCCCATATTTTCTTTTAAGAGTGCAGACAGCCTACTAAAGGCATATTGGATTCGACCGCCATGTACGTAAAGGACATACATTTACAATTTGAAAATACCAAATTAAATAAATCAAGTAAAGTAAAAACGTTCAGTAACTACTACTGTGGCTGCAGATGGACAGTCATAGCTCTTAGCTTTTTAACCAAGAATACATTATGACGCTACATTTTCAAACTGCGAATATATTTCATACAGTAGGGGCGCCGTCTGTCTAGTAGTAACACAAGGACAGTTGTGGGTGAGAGAAGATTGAAGAGGAAGTTTTAACTATCTCCTTACTAGACCTAGAAATTATGCACTGGTTCACCTGATTGCTGGGAATGTAATCATTAAATGCACATAAAGTAACACACACATCTGATAAAGACTGTTATAAAAGGAATGCATTGACTGAATTCTACTTGGACACTGTTTAGAGTTAACTTACGTTTCTAAACTATGGTATATTAGAATTTTGAATTTGGACACGCTTCATATCTGATCCCTGGTAGCACAGATTGTAAGAATGCACACATAAAGTTGATGGATATCAAGTCGATATTATTACTGTTATTAAATAATTTCCCAATTATGTTAATATGGTTCTAAAAGTCACATGTGACATGAAAATGTAGTGTTCTTTTTCTGTACTTTTTCTTCAGAAATGGAATACATTTAATTTGTTGGTTTGGACTTGTGTAGCATAAACCAAAGAAATGTTTGAGGCACTCTGAAAAACTGTTACTATATGTTAAAACAGTGATATTAGTGCATCTCTATCCAATGCCAAGCGAAATCTTGATTTACTAAATCACAGATTGGGTTTATGGTTAAACTTGCAGTCGATCAGAAAGTGTAACCAACTGTAATGTGCTGTAGGACTGTATTTGTCAGATCATCAATGGTTATAAGAGGAATCTCAATATCTCAAAACATATAAAACAATTATTTTCCCAATCAACATCTGGAGTGTAACACGTTTGAAGAAATTATTCTTACATCTAAAAGATTGAAGCCATGGCTACAGTGCCACAAAACATCCCCGTATTTCTGGCCAAAGCTATTCTGGGAACACGTAGGAAAGTTAAAACTAAACCCGCCTGAGGAGCTCTGCTTTTTGTTAAGGTCTGTTACCAAACAACAATGTTAGGAAGTCCACTCAAATCAGCCTTTATAGAGCTTACAAGTCCAAAAATCCATCAACGATGTCCCAGTCTTATGATGCTGGGATTTGCAGTCAAATAGAAGTGGAGTTTGTCCTTTTATTAACTGTAATAAAAGAACATTCAAATACTAGTCTGCAACTGGAACAGATGTCTTCAAGAGGTGGCGTTTTTTTTCTTGCTAGAATGTTATTGTGCTAATCAATCAAAAAGGCTTAATTGATTCTCCCGGCCAAGCATGTGTGTTAATGCCAAGGGTCAGAGAGAAATCATTGGAGATATCCAGCACTTTTTCATTGCTTATCTATAACTCTGACATGGCTACTTTCCATGTTTTTTCCATTTCAAAACTGACCATTTTTATTTCCTGTCATTCTGTTAATTAGGGTTGGGGAGGTTAGTACATCCAGTCTTGACATCAGAATTTTACTTGAAAGACATTCATTTCATTTCGTTGAGTTCTTGTTGAGTCAAATGTATCAGATTATAAATGTGTGTGTTTATGTTTTATGCCCTGCTGGTAGTTTTGTGATGGTTGGACCTGTTGCTGGGTTGGAGTTTTGGTCCTCCCTGTCCTTGGCATCAGAAAATGTACAGTCCAAGACAAGTGAAATAATTGCCTGGGTTATGTGTTAGTTAGTGGATGTTGTGTGAATGTGGCAGTGGCTTTGTGGGGCAGTCTGTGCTAGAGGTGCTCAGGTATGTGTAATGTTTGGCAGTGCACCTGTGTGGCAGGTGGTTGGAAGTGTGTATGTACATGCAGTTGTGAGAAAAAGTGGGATTTTATGGCAGTGTTGTATAGTGTTTGTGAAGAATCAGGATGATTGTGCGTGTGTGTGGTCTTTAGATGTGGCAGTAGGAGTGACATCACTCGTTGCAGGTGTCACTCTTCTCCTCTGGTGCTGCAGGAGACTCTTGTGGGCGGTGCTTGCACTGGCCGAGCGAATGGCGGGTTGTTGCTCTCGATGGTCGAGCGGGGCAGGAAGATTGGGCAGCACAGTCACAAGGTGCATCCTGGGAAATGGAAAGATTTGACTGAGCTTTAAAAAAGGAAGAATCAAATACCACACCACTGGGATTGATGACAATATTACATATAATTGTTGGGCGCAATGATGATGTTGACAGTAGGCTTACAAATTACACTGCTATTTCTCCTATACATTCAAATTATTGCAAGTAGTATTTTTAATATTTAAGACTCAAATTGGGGATAATCATGCAACATCAAGATAAATAATAAATACAAAACTAGCTGTGGAAGAGTCAAATTAAATATCATAGTGTACAAAAGTGAATGGAACCTATTGGCATTTTAATGGAAATCAGAACAAATTTGAGAACTTTAAAGGTCACCAATCATGCTATTTTTAGGCAATAGCATAGGTCTCAGATATATAAAAATATATAAAAAACATGTCTATGAAGTGTTTTGCTCAAAATACCAAACAGATCACCCATTCTAGCCATGCCTCATATCCCTCTATTTCACTTCCTGTTTCAAAAGTGCTGATTCTGGGTATAAAGCTTTAAAAAAAAAAAAAAAATTGATAAAAAAAGAAAAAGGAGGGGGGCTGAGCTCATGAGGGACCCGGCAGCTACTGTCTAAACTAAATACTGCCATGATGAAACGCCATATCATGGATTATTTCTGAAACAGTATGGAGCTCAAAGGCTTTCTCTCTTGCCGGTTATACCACAAGGTGAGCCAATCATCAAAACTCATCTCAACATGAGAGTACACCTCTTTCTTTATG